TCCACGCTGACAGGAGTCAACCTTCATTCTGATTGTTTTATTATCTTTTATCTCGGCCCACTGTGCTCCACTCTATCCTGTTCTCCAGTCATTGTGCCTGGTGTCTCTGTAGCTGCTCAGAGAGACCATTAACGGCTTCATTAACGGCCTCATTCACTATGCATGAGGCAGTGGCCCTCCTCTTACAGCTCTGCACTTCCAATAAACGGAAAGAGGTTTTAGGTGAACATTTTTTGTGAGGTTAAAGGTCAGGGTTAGTTAGTTCAAGTAAATAAGACTTCTAAGATAAGATTCTTTTTTTTGGTTGTTTTGTATCAGAAAAAACAACAGCAACAACAATGTAGTTAATGTAATGTTTCCTCACCAGTGTGAATAAGAGAGTGCATGTGTCAGTGTGTGCGTGCTTCTGTCCAAGCTGTCATTATTTTCAGGTGTGGCGGGAACACTGAGCGGAAAGACCGTCCTCTAACCCAACACCACATCACATTCCTTGGAATCCACAGCTTCCTGTGTGTGTGTGTGTGTGTGTTTAAATGAAATGGAATGAAGAGCAGTGAGGTAGAGGAAGTGAGGGTGGTAAACTGGGAGGCGTATCAGGGAAGGTGTGGTACAACACTGGAGGAACGGCATGTTGGTCCTTCCAACTATTTAGTCCATCTCCGACCTCCTCTAGCATCACTATCAAGCCAAATTGGTAATGGACAGAAAGTAAAATTTGAGTGAGTGGGAGGAAGAAAATAAACTGTTGTTTTAGAAGCAGATTCTGGTATGAAATCTATTTTTATCTGGATTTGTGTGAGTGATGTAAGCAGAGATCAGTTAGGATTAAAGAAAATCCTGCAGATGGTTATAATGTGAATCACAAACATGTAATCTTATGCAATCTCCCTCTGCGTGGTTCAAACAAACACACACACAGGATGTAGTTTCTGTCAATATGACTCACAAACATACAAACAACAATATAAAGCTCAACTCTGTGTGTGTGTGTGTGTGTGTGTTGTGTGTGTGTGTGGTGTTGTGTTGTGTGTGTGTGTGCACGCACGCATGTCCACTAAAAAACTGCCAAACACTGCAGATATGTGTATTGTCTGGAGCTGGGAACGTTGGCAGCTACTGGACATGAACACGCACACGTGCACATACACAGTGTAAATCCCCTATAGGAGGTCATTTTCTGTATTGTACAATAGAATACAGTAAGACAGAAGCGGTCAGGGTGTTTCTGTGTTATTTTTCCATCTCCAAGCAGCGGTATCTGTAGCAGCAACAGCAGAACAACGGGAAGTATATTTAATATCTTTGGTTTCAGGATTTTTGCGAAACAAGAACTTGGACAGGGGGAAAATGTGATGAGCATTTTCACTTTTCTAATAATTAGATATTAATATTATATTTCAATAATTCCATTAATTGAGAAAAACATAGCTATTTGATCTTCAGTTGGGCTCTCCAATTGCAGCCATCTGACTGGCTGGGTTTGGTTTAGAAATCACCTTTCATATTCTGCACCCAATAAAACCTGAAACAAGTCATTTACAACATTTTACACCAAACCCAAAAAAAGGCCAAAGGAGAACTCCCTGAACCCATCATAAATTAATCTTCAAAGAAAGAACCCCCATCCAAAAGGGACCTGGAGATGGTTACATTGGATCTGAAATACACCCAAAGATAATTAGACCCTTTCCAAAATGTGGTTGACTAAAACACAGACAGCAGCGTGGTGCTCTACCAATTAACTAGCAGTCACACTCAAAAGAAGCAGAAATGCACATTGCAAGTGTCATCCACCTGTTTTTAAGGGCATTTTCATTTTGAGCATAATAAAGCCTGTGTAAAACACCTAAAATTATGAAAAAGTTAAGTTTTTGCCAATTTAATGGTCGTTAATTTGTCTAAGTTTATTTGTCTGACAACATGGAATACAGTACCAAGGTGAATTACAGCGGCTCCGAGGCAGCACACAATATATCTGTAATCACAGGTTGTTGGGCTGGCAGTGTTTTTTGTGCACAGCTGAGGTGAAAAACTTGGTATATCAATAAAACAAAAGTGACAAAGGGCAATGGAAATGGGACTTACTAACATCCTAACATATGCATGACAGTAGTGGATGGAAATGTACACATTCATTCACATCTTCTTTTGCCAGGTTTGTGGAAATTGTGTTCAAATTTGCACTACACTTGGATGGAAAC